CAATGATGATGTGATGTTTGCAAGTGTACTACAGACTCAATCCCGGATTGGGTGAATAAAATTTCGGGAATTGAGTAAAATTTTGGTGGCACAGTTCTGATATAATCCGCATATATTAATATACATATATATATATATATGTTTACTATTATAAACGATCGAGAACTTTTATATTAAATCTGGACGTCAAATAATAATATATAATATACAAATATCCGTAATACTGTAGGAAAAATAAAAAGGAACCATAAGGACAATTAAATACATTTATCGACCATCAGAATATAATTACGAGAATAGCGTGGCACTTGTGAATTAAGTGCCAGAAGTGAGAACAAAGAACTCTAAGTTCAAATTTCAATCGATTCCGTTAATTCTTCTGTCGATTAATTCCTACAATAAAAGTAAAAATTCATATGTCACCTGTACAGTAAAAAGTTTTAAATTAAAAATGTGTTAATATTTATACTTTCTGTATAAAAATAAACAGTACAAATATTAACACATTTCCAGTTTTAAATTTTTTACGGGCATTATACGGGTAATATATTCTTTAATTTAGATACAATTTGCAATAATTATATCTGTATTATTTGTTATAGTTATCATAGATTAAAACTCGTATCAAAAATGAAATTTTCACTTATTAACATTTACATACGTACATACACATATTATTATATAGATATTTTATACATACAGTATGATATGTTTATGTATTGTATATAACATTTGCTTTTAAACTAAGTAATCTATATAAATGGGGGAGGCAAATGTTTGTCGTTTTTCCATTACTAGCTCTATTTTAAATAAAGTTATAGAAAACTATTGTTTTTTGAAAAGGAAATTGAAAAATATTTCTCTGGATGAAAGAGGAAGTTGATCGAAACTCGTAGCGGCAATTTTGCTTCTATTTTGCTGAAACTTTTACTTTTAATTTTATTTTACAAATATAGCAAATTTTTTGCATCAACTTAATAATAGTCGCAAAAAAACCAATTGAAAATTAAAATAATAAAAATTAATATAATATTATTGAGCAATCTGCATATTAGTACTGTACACAACATATCGACATATTGTTGATATGTTCTAATTATCATTTTATAAGTATAAAAATATGACATGTCAAAAAGAGGAGACATCTAAATTCATGGCAACATTACCGAGAAACAGTGTTTGAAGTAATATAAAATAATATCATTAAAAAGTCCATAAGCTCGCGTCAAAATTGCCGAGATTATTTGGAATTACCCGGGCCAAAAATTAGAAAATCCGACGCACGAGCGATGATATATACACGCGGCCGCATTCGCCTGCTATTTATTGCGCAGCATGATTAATCTCTTTACCCCTGCGGCTAACCGGGTTATTATTTACAAGCCACTTTCCGGAATTACAATTTTTTATGGCGCATATGTCACGACTAATGTCTCCCTTTGCTCGCGAAGTGCTACGTGCCGTTTTATCTCACGAAATTAAAACCGTTTCCCAGATTACGGAATTATCGAAAGACTACAACGGGCGCGCAATTCGGACAGATATAGCTTTAATGCATTTTGAATGGCAGTCTCCGTTTTATTACGAATACGGATTTCTCGAGAATTCCGGCGCGTGCAAAGTCATGCAAATCGAGTTCATGCAAATAGGTCGCCAATTGGATAAAGCCGGTATGGCATTATATTAGATAGTAATTATTATTCAATGGAAGATTATAGGATTAACGTTCTGCAAGATTAATGTCTCAAAGAAGAAAAGTAATTACAATCACGCGGATTTATTATGTTAAAAAGTTAGATATATATAGTAAGGATATAATTTTTATATATAACTAACACAATTTATTTCTTAAAATTTCAAGTACTTGTTCTAAATATACAAATTTTTAAGTACTTTTATGAAAATTATTAAGATATAAATTAGAGGAATAATGTGATATAACATTATAACAGCAAGATAGTACTACAATACAATTCATTAAATTCATTTTAATTAATTATAGGAAGTAAGTAATTGAATCTGTTCCAATGAGAAAAGCAAATGTAATATAATCCTTAATTAATTAAAGAAATCCCATGTGAATGGACTCTGATGCATTAAATAAATCGAAATAAGCTACGTTATTTGCTTTATAACTCAAATTTCAATACGTAAATCTCTTTATTGTTTATATATTTTTCCCGATTAATAACGTTACATATAAGCTTGCGTGAATTTTGGAAAACTCACGTTGCGCATGATAAATATAAAAAATTCGTGCAAATTGCAAGGGAGAAACGTGGTTCTATTGCAGGCACATATATGTATAATTTTTGAGAGGATGTCATATTCTACTCCGAGTAACTGAAGTATTACCGAAAGAGGGGACAGAATTTGCAGTGAGTAAGTCGTGACGGCAAAACGATTTAGCGAAGCGGCAACTCTCCCGCGAGAAGATCGCAGTTGCCGAAGTTCGGCCGATTGCTACCTAAAAGGGGTGTTTGACCAAAGTACGACTTTTTCCGAGAAAGTTCGCGATTGACGTGACGTTGAAAGCCCCGCTCGACGATCCGGCAGACGAGTTTCTCAGGGAGAATCCGTCGTTCTCGACGGCCGATCTGAAACTTGGGAACTGCCGGAAATTCTCAAAACGTACCGACGTTCAAAATAGAATGAAGACTTTCCGCATGAGTATTTTACGGCGTTTCGGGGAAACGGTAACGAATTCAAGACGGTGCGAGATAGAAGCGTGTTTACGAAAACATATTGAAAGTTTTAACATTTATCAGTAATCAAATGTACGACTTTAGACTCGCACGTGTGTATCTTTTAACTTTTAACACACATAAGTGTATGAAATTATTGTTTTAACACACATTAATATCTTAAATTATCTTTTGAACAGAACATTATTAATATTTTGTGTGAAATTTTTGCACGATATATTTCAATATATTTATCGTGCTCAAGATAATTTATAGTGTTTTAAGATGCTCATTAGCATCAGTATTATTACATTCACACGCAATTTAATTTGGGATATTACTGTTGCAGTTAAAGATTGTGTTTCAAATCTGACAGTAATCGGCACGCAATGACGCATTCTATAAAATTTGAAAATGTATTTAAATTTATTTAGAAATATTATTACTTATTGTTAAAAATATTAGGCACCAAGATACACTTTTTGATCGAATAATGATTTTTTCGCATAATTGTGTTACTCATCGTCATGTTTGCGTTAGCGATTTATTGCATTTTCTAACAATTTCTTGTGTCAATTACTAGCATAAGTCGCGATATAAACCTTCTTACAATTTACCTCTTAAATAATCTGTTATTATATTAACACTCTTTATTTATATGTATAAGAACAGAAGGGAGAAAATTTTTTCTATAAATATTTAAAAATCGAAGTTTTTTACGTATCTATATATTTTATTAAATAACTTTGAGTGGTATACGCTATTTTTAATTTTGGAGAAATTTTATTTTGAAGAAACTTTATCTGATAAACATAGCAGCATTAAGAAAACAAAACTTGTACGATTCACGTATAACTATGTGGAAATTACAAGCGAAAATTATTTCCGTCGAAAATCTATTATTAAAAATAGTCGATTATTTGGAAATGGAATGTCTCTGACAAATACTCGATAATGCAAAAGTTTCTATATATATATAATTTATAATCGACAAGATCGGTTTATTTCTAGAATGTTAGCAACGTGGCGGATTGAAACCTTCATTATTCTGATGGTTGGCGTGTAATTTAATTTTGCGTCGCATATATATTATATTATATATAATATTTGTATAGTTATAATTACTCATTGTACTTAGAATAGAGAAAATATAATATATTAATATGAATAATAAAGTTCTATATTTTAAGAAGTTAAAAACTAATTTTTTTGAAAAATCTAACTAAAAATTTTTTTTTGATACTTTTAATTGATAAATGTTTAACTTGCGACTAAAAGGAGATTGGTCAAATTGGATCTAAATTATGAAAAGCACAATTTAAAATTTACAATAGGTAACTTCTCTGTGAAATCAATTTAACTTAAAAGCGTTTATTATCGTTTACGATAATAAATTAGTTAAATCACTTTAACTTTGCAGGGTGGTTTATGTTATTCGAGGATTAAACACGATATAAATCTCTTTATCCAGAATATAATCTAATACATCTACAATAAATTAAAACAAAAACCTTTTAACTTTCTATATTTCCTACTTTGTTCATAATCCTTTAATTAGCAGTAATAAATTCTCTGGTAATTGGAACCTGTAATTAACGAAAGACTCACTGTGAATTAATTACACACAGAATACGTTTCTATATTACTTGTTCTCGCTCTTTACATTTCATTTTAACGCCCTTCGATTGTTAAATATCTTGGTAATTAATTAATTTCGTGATTAAATTTTTTTGCTATGATTTTTAGGGATCTGATAATATTTTATTAGAATAGAAGAACCGACTTGTCGAACGACTTTGTACGAATAAGAAAATAATGAGATTTAAACTAGATTAGCTGTGTTAAAATATATTTTTAATCAACAAAATGTTGGATCTCGTTTTCTGAGAAAATAGCTTTTAAAATTTATTGAGGTTTTTATGAAATACTGATGAACTGTGAAATATAGTTTCGTTGCTCGCTAAACTATACTAATGGTAAAATCAGATATTTTTATTAGATCTTTACTTGAATTCTATTAAAAGTTTTCATCGATTATTATAATCATTATTATGAGGCAAAACAAAATCACCATAAAATAATATAAATACATTTATAACATTTAGCCCTACTTTTCTTACCTTAATTTTCTTTCACAAATTTTACCTGAGACTAACATATATACATATATTTCTTTTTTTTTATATTTATATATACTTTTAATATTCGCTCTTTCCACAAAAATTTCATTTTTTTCTGAAATGCGTGATGATGTTCATCGTGCTAGCTGTTTCTTGTTCGTTGTTAAAATAAACATTCTACGAATTTGTATTCTAGTATGGCGGTGAGCCGGGCAGGAGGTTGGCGTCCCAAGAGAAGCCGCTGGAGATTCAGGATCAATTTCTTCAAAGACTTGGCTACCAGGATATATCCCGGCGCGCTCGTCTGGGAGTTGATCCAGAACTCAGACATCTCATCGGCTTTCACGTAGGTTAGTGTGAATTATGACTGAGTACATTCTTCGCGAGTCATTGTAGAGATCCTCGCATAGGTACATTTATTATTTCAAAAATAATTCATTTTGGCAATTTCAATCTCACGAGATATTGGAATTCTGACATCCTCTATTCTATTATTCATTATATTGTTCCTATATATTATTTAATTCGCTCAGAGATGATTTTGGATGATTTTATAAAATGTATAGCTTCTCATTTATGTATATCTCTTGTTAGCTTTCATTATATTTAATGAATTGCTGTGCAACTAGTGCGCTAAAAACACTTTGCTGAGCCAAGGTATATCCTTGAAGGGCACAAGCGTCTTATTACGTTTATGCGTAGAATGCGTTCGTGTACATGTACGTGTGTACACACTTAATGCACACTTTTATTACTCCACGTAAATCCCAATCCTAGTAATTACAAAGCGCGTTGGATTTCGTTACGTCTCTCGACTACATTCTCGGTGCAGGGCGGCCGACGTGCGCCACCTTCTGCAAAAGCTAATTGCGTTAGTTGAGCACTTCGTCATCTCGCCCGTCTCCTCCTCGTCACCCGGCACTCGCGACGAGCAACTTTTGCGAGAATCGCGCCCGTCTAATTCCCGTCGTCTTAACCTTCATGCACCGAGGCGTGATGATTAATTAGCGAGCGCGCGGTTTGACTAATTGTAAGTGCCTATTGATTATGCGGACCCGAGCAATTTAGCGGAGATGAAGAATCGAGGGTATCCGAGGCGAGGTGACTCGTGCTTCTGGATAATTACGGAATATTTTCGTACGATCGAACACGTTACAATTTTACACTGCAAGTGCTATGAAAACAAGTAACGAGAGAAATAGATGGGTCTGTTTGGATATAAATAAACGCATCTCTTCGATTTTCCTTCCCAATGGAAAAGGAGAAATAGAAATATTCGATGGATTCGGCTACGCTCTGCTGACTCTTATATGATAATCGTGCCCCCCCCCCCCTCCTTTATAGCGTCACATTACAGTTATTGCGAAAGCAAAACTTTCAGCCGCATTCTACTTTTTCTTCTGTCGCTTTTTGTTTTGCGGGTCACCCACACCCAGCGCAACGCGCTAGACTTGGAGATTCCGACGTCGGACTGCGATCGCCCTAGGAAACGCTCGTTCCATTTAACAAACCGTCCCGTGCACGAGAGTTGGCCGTTGTGTCGACACGAGGGCCGTAAGTAGGTACTTTCGCGAGCGATCTCGCTACAAGAGACACACGAAACGATGGTCGAGCGAGTTCGCGCGCGTGCTCCGCTAATTATAACGTTATTGCCGCTATTAATGAGCAATTTCAGGGCGCTTCTGTGCGCCGCTCGGTCGCCGGCGATATAAACTCGAAGCGCATTACGTAACTTACGTGGCGCAATTTAGCCGAGTTAATTAAGTTAAAGTGTGTTGCGCGCGCGGGCGAGTCGCGTGCATCGCCGTCGTCTTCGTCGTCGTCGTCGTCGTCGTCGTCGTTGCGTCGTCGTCGTCGTCGTCGTCGTCGTCGCAACACTGCGACGACTTGCACTTGTTTCCCCACCCTCTCGCGATTATTTTTATTTTCTTCCTTCCTCTTTTCTTGCCGGCGCTTTCGCTAAACTCACCAACGGACGATTGCCTTTAACGTCCGTAATTACGGTTTTAACGGCGAATTATATAAGACAATTTATCTGCGATGCGCTCTTACATACACGCGCGCGTTTCGGTATGCGTGTTTACCTTAGAAATATAATCCGAGAGGGAGGTCGGAGAGCAACTTTCGCGCAACTTCTCGCAACGTTAGGAAGCTACTTATCCGTCTTCTTAGCCGCGCTTTTCACGAACGAACTCGAAAATTACTCCCTCCCCATCGCTTCCGCGACTTCTGTTCACTATCGTGGTACACACGAAGTGGTTTTTCCGAGTACCGGTGAACGGAGGCGGTGTTCGCATTTCGCCGCTAGACTCAACGATATTGGACACCGCCGGTGATTGATATTCCAACCTGAGAGATGTTCGCACTCTGTTTTTCGTCGGACTGATACACCGGGAAAACTGGCAATCGTAAACACTTTCCGCGCTACACGTTCGGACGTCCAAACGCCGCGCTAGCAGGGTGTGTTTTTTCCGTATTTTTATTTTACATGTACTTGTTTATTTAATCGAAATATGCAAAATTCAGATGACCGAGCTTGCAAGGATACGCGTACGCCTGAAGCCGCGAGGGCACGTGCGTCTCAAGCGCAACAATTAAAATTTTTAATGATTAAAGTATTTTTAAGCCCAAAATTTAAATGTACATTCGAATATTCAACGTACCTATACACATAAAAATTCCGTGTTTATTTACATGTATCCTGTTTTTGTTTATACTGCAGTTTCCCGGAACGTAGAAAAATTCCCGGAATTTTTCCCAGAATCCTTTTCTTTATTTACCACAGCTGCAAATCACCCGAATATCTGCGATTTCATCGATATTTATTTTTTGTAGATATATCTGCAGTTGCATTTTACATGAAAGACGCGAAAAGTTCAAATGTACAAACTGGGAAAGACGCGTACGTATATTTATCTAGAAAAAAAGTTTGATTACGAGAACGATATTTACTGCTAATAATTCGAAAGTCCAAGGATATCCAGCATCGTCTCCTGAGCATCATCTCTCGCACACTTGACTGTCTATAAGTCTAACATAACTTCCTGGTCTCACATAAATTCTTCCGTTTTACGCCGAGACTGCAAATCTAGCGGGTATCGCGCGTTCACGTGCCGTTTGATGTTTCATGGCGCAGAATTGGAGCGGGATTACGGTACGAGGATGCGCGCATGCTGATGCAGGCACGGCCTGAGCGTTAAAACAGCAAATTTATCTAGCAGGCGGCGTACCGCCGCACCGACGCCGCCGGCGCCAGCATATTTAACCATAATAACCGCTAACGACTGAGAGTTTCCTGGCCGGAAGTACCGGAAGTGCACGCTCGCGCCACCGCCGTCACCCTGGCAAGCGACCGCCTGCCTAGCTAAGCCGAAACGTTAAACGCCGATTATCGTGTTCCCATGCTCTCGCCTGTAATTTCCCGCGGCAACTTTCGCCCATGGGAACAGAAGCCCAGGTATTGAGCGTTAAGTGGCAAATATAACTCATTTTAGGGAGAAAATTAGACTTCGGTTCTTGCAGCCAAATTGCCTGCGACTGAGTCCTCGCGATTCGGAAAGATATTTCCAAAAATGAGAACATTAATTATTAAAATATTTGAATAGCTTTGCGGAATGATTTAATACCTTAAACGAAATTATTTAATTTTCTAAAGTGAGGTAGATAAAAAAAGCATCGTTTCTCAGATAATAATACTAATCAGATTTCAACTTTAATTTTAATAAGAATTTTCTATCCAAGATTTAACTGCCAATAACGCTTTAATATTTCTTTAATCCGGACCGGAGTGTGATTGGTCACTGTTGGTCATTTCTAACTTTGCGGAGCATCGGTCGTGTCTTTCTTTTATTTAATAAAATAGCAGTATCCATATTCGCATAATAAATTGCTTTTCCCTTTGAAATTGCTGAATATTGTTCGTACCGTTGCATTTTCCAGTTCGCAATAAAGCTCACGCACGCTGGCTTTAATAACCGCGCACGATTTATTGGATTTTATCGCGGAGATGGCGAAGCAAAGCTCGTGAGTCGCAGCATTTCTCGCCGTCGGCGACGTAGTCTGATATTTACACATCCGCAAGGAAATATCATGCACTGCCAGGGCAATATAATTGCTCTCTTTTTCTGATAATAGAGACTTCACTACTTGCACGTTTGCACTTGCTCGGTTGCCGGGTGTATCGATTTCTAAATGTGTTTTTATATGAAGAACTACGAAGCGTTTTAATCGAAGCGTTTTATAAATATTTTTAAAACAAATTACAATATATATATACGAGCTGGCGTTTTTACAAAAATTAGATACACGTACATTAAGGATTTCATAATATTTGCATCTTCTGCATATTCAATGTATGTAATAAAGTAAGTTAATTTTGCTCACGCGAGAATTTGTAAAACCGTCATTTTGAGACACCCTGATGCCAAAATATCATTTGAACACGTTGAAAAATTGCCGTTAAAACTGTGTGAAAACTATGAGCGTGATACAACCTGATACTTTTTACAAGTTAGCTGTGATGGTTTTACATCTCCAAAACGGTTAAAGGTCTATATCGCTACACAATGAATCGAAAAAATAACATTTTGATTCGCATGTCGCATATGGTCTGCAAAATTCTGTGGGAATTTGCGTTTCTGTTTGTGAACGTAACTCAATTTCGCCGCGCGCCGTTTTCCGCCGCATATACAATGAAAAATCCCATATACTACAGTATATAGAATAATATATAGAGCAGTTCTATATAGAGAGTTTTGAATAGAATCGGCGAACTTTCAGAAATGATAAAGAGAAAGGAAGAAATATTTTGTAACAAGAAATTTTACGTATTTGGCAATTTCATTTAAATATTATATAATTATCGATTTAATTTCATTTAAATATTAACGTAACATATAATTTAACATGTTTAAATTAATTCGATTTATTTGTTATTTAATATTATTTATATAATATAATTAATATTTCATAATTTTTACATCTTTTACAAAAAAATATTTTGTATTTGTTGACATAACGATAGTTCCTTCAAACTGAAAAAATATACATAAATATTTATAATGTAAATCATAAATTTTAATAATAAAATTTACAACGTAGATCTTAAATTTAGTAAATTTTAAATCATTTTTTTATAGTAAATATGTTTCCTCTTCTTGTATATCAGGAAATTCATGTGACCATATCAGGACCTTAATCCTTTGATCTCAAATGGTGTCATGTGTGTCGCCTGTAAAACGTGACACCTGAATGTTCGCGCGTTGATTAAAGGCGTAGTTATTCACCGCTTTACCTTTTTCTTCATTTGCCAGGACCCGCATCGCCATTACCAGATCTGGCGGGATACAGCCGTTGCGGCTACACTTTGGTATTGAAGGGGTTGGTTTTTCCTCAGTGGAAGCGTCGACCTCTGGCCATCATCGGCTCCAGGCTCTTCCTTTATCCGGGTAAGTGTTCCATTCTTGGGGATCCTGCCGATCCGCGAGATAAGAAAATTCAAGACAAAAGAAAACGCGCGGTCCGCCTGGGCTGGAAATAGGGCTGCCATCTGTAAAATTACTATTCTAGGACTGTGAGCTCTAAAACCCCGGATTTTATAGCTTAAAACCCGGACTTTTTTTTAGTGTTAATATTAATTTTCTTATTGCAAATTTCAATTACTTAATACATCATATCAGACTATGGCTTGTTCACACTGGTTCACACTGTTCACAGACACAGATGACAGGACGCATCAGTGCGTTTAGCGTTACGCATGGCATGGTGTAATAGCCAATCATTTTTTTGTTCTTATGGAA